ACGAGGAGTTGGGAAAGTTTTTCTGGCCAGATAGTTAATATTTTAAGATTTTAGACAGTATGACTCTAGTACCACTAATTAAGCTATGCTACTGTGGGTAAAAAGCAGCCTCAGACAATTTGTAAATGCATGCTGTGTTCAAATAAAACTACTCACCAAAATAAGCAAGAGGCTAGAAGATTTGGCACATTGGCCGTAGTTTACCAGTCCTGCTATATGGGACAGCATTTTAATCTTACACTTCATTGGGACTTTTGGCTCTGGCTATTTTAAGTAAAATTTGATGCTATAAAAGCAATTTCTGAAAAACAGAAATTGCTCAGTAATTTTTACTCTAATCAGAGCATACAAAAATTTATAATTCCACTTTAATAACAAATGGTTTCATCTTGAAAGATAATTTTCTCAGGAGGATTTGATCTACTGTGGAGGACACGATTTTCTCTTGAAAATAAAAATACAAAGCAATCATTTATGATATCTTTTTTGGGATCATTTGTGAAAGCCCTGTACACACACACACACACACACACACACACACACACACACACAGATTTGGAAGGTGGATAACAGTCTTCTTTTTTATAGGCAGGGAACCTGAAAATCAGAAAAAGAATGTAACTTGCCCAAAGTCATTCTGCCAGGACAGACTGTATCCAAATCCAAACATAAGCCTTCCTGACTCCAAAGCCCCCTTCTCTCCAGCCACAAGGCTGCCAATCTTTAATCAAGTCCATTTCATCTTGATTCTCAAAATTGTTTACTTTCTAAAAGTGGTATGTGTTTCATATGTATCTGAGAATTGTTTGACTCCAGTGTGTGGACATTTATACTCTTTCCTGATAGGATGTGTGCTAATAGTTAAGTTCTTTACATTCATTTCTACATGTTCACACTTGAGCAAGACTTAATCACATCGCTGAACATCACTAAGAAACATTCTTGAAGTATGGCAGGAATGAATATGTAGAAGAAATGTAGATGTTTACTTGAAATAAAAAAGTGAAAGTAAGTTCAAAGTAAATATGATACCACATAATATTCAATCAATACTGAATCACCAGGAATCTCAAGGAAATGTATACAATCTCAGTTCCTTACGCCTAAGGAGTAAGACTTGGAATGCCATGACATTTTCTCTAATGACAAGTAGGTTAAGTTTTTAAAAAGACCCATATATGTTGTTGGAATCCTTCCTTAAGTGGTCTCTTACAACAAAGCAAAATGAAACCAAATCAAACCTCAAACAGTGAGGCACCTGTTTGACTTGATGAAATGACACAGATGATTCACTCTGCCTACATTTCTTGCAATGGCTTCTCATGATTCTGTAATAGATGTAGGGCTTGCTGGTCTCCTGAACTTGCTGGCCTAACAACTCATTTGTAGGGGTATCCAGGTATAACTACAAGACCAATTGCAGGACTTTTCAGAGACTTCTTTGTCATTGCAGACTGAGTGGTTGTAAAGTTTAAATCTATGCTTTTTCATATGTTGACCCCTCTCCTACACAAACAGAAGGAGCCTTAAGAGGGCTTGGGTGGTGGCTAATCCCTTGCTAGGACAGAGTCATCTACCCTTCCATCTGGTAACCTCTGACATTAAGCAGGGAGCTCATTCTCATTTGGCAGAGTAAAGCCTCAGCAACTGGCCATACAGTCCTGCTGAGCCACTCCTGGCTGAGCTGCACTCCAGAACCCTTCTCACATCCTGCTGTAGTTTCTCCCTGACTTTCATTGCTACAGTCCTTGCAAACCTGCACTGAGCAAGATGCATTTAACTGACCCCATTCCTTTTAACAACTGAGCATGCCAGCATTTAATAGCCTTGTAAAGACGGTGCGCGGCTGCCACCGCTGTGCCTCATTACTCACTGCTTCAGGACAGTGTGGAATTCAATACGCACATTTTAGTCACATCATGCCTGGGAACCCAACCACCCTTTGTCTTGGCTCATTTCCCCATCTTATATTGTTCAGCATTTTTAGCTTGTGTCTTGTTTTGATGTTTCTGTTATTTAATTGGGTTACCCAGGCCCCATTGTCATCCTGTTCTGTATGCTCAGCTGCAGAATTCTTTTCTGTGTTATTGGCTACACAACCTGCCACAGCGACTGCTTCACTTGAGAAATGTGACTGCATCTCCTTTTAGATAAGGAGAGCTTTTCAGAAAGGGAAATACGTAACAAGATGTAAATGTTTTCCAGTGGGGAAACACGATGGATTCATGGTCCCCACAGGTGTGGAATAGTCCAGTGAGCTTGCTCCTGCCATCATGTCCTCCCTGGACTCTGGGTGACAGGAGCAAAGTCTCCTGGATAAATGGCTCAACCAGGGGATGCTGTTCCCCAGCCTCAGCTTGGAAGTGGCTCTCTGTTAAGAGGCAGGAGGATGAAGGAGAAAAGGAGAAAAATGGACTCCTACCACTTCTCCTCAATCACCAAAAAGTCAATTAAGAGGATCACGCCAATTCTGGGCACCCCAAGGAGATGGCTTTCCCAAACTATACCAATGTGAAATGCTTTACAAAATGCAAGTGCGACTCCCAAGTGTTCTGCTCAGACTAGTGAAAACAGCCACAAGCACTTGTAAACAAAACAACTGGGAGCAGGGATGCTCGCCTGTAATGACTGTTTATGTTGGAAAGTTGGCTGCCACTGTGGTTAGACAAATGCTCCCACTTCTGTGGAGATAAAAGGCCAGCATTTGCAATCAGTGAGGAGAGTGTGTTCGTTCTGTGGCTAAATGGCATTATAAAACTTCCTAATTAAGCCTACATGCCAATGAGTTTTTAGCATCATTTCTCCAATTTAGCTTTTCATACTGGGTGCCCTGTTTAGTACAGCATTAACTATAAACATTGTTGTTACTGCCCCCAGCTGGAAAACAGAGCAGTTTATGTGAGGAAGAAGAAAGAGATTATCTCCCATCTGCTCCTGCCCATTATTCAGGGATATGTCATTTTGTCTGCTGATGGGAACCATCACTAGGATTTTAGTTAAATGGCCTTTTATACTTGGATTTTTATTAATTATTATGCTTATTTGGTACTTTGCTTCCACAAATTTAGCAATTTAATTTCTAAAGGTATATTGTTTTTAATTAGATGGGTTTAGGTATGTAATTTTTATTATACAAATATGCACAACTCTAATCAGACATACTTGATGCTTATTTTTAATCATATATCAACTTTCCTCATATGCCTGGTTAATATGCCCGAGGATAGGAGATACACAATTAAAAGAAGGAAGGCACATGGTATGATTCGATTTATATAAAGTATAAAACCAGGCAAAGCTAATTAATGGTGATAGACTCAGGGGTCAGTGTTTAACCCTGGGGCCAAGTGATCCTCCAGAATGGTCTGGGGAGGGGGTCCTGGGGTGCTAGGAATGTTCTGTGCCTGATCTGGGAGCTGCTTACAGGGACGTGATTGAGTTGTAAAATCCACCGGGATGTGCATACATACATGTGCATACTTCTGGATATGTATTATCTTCCTGTAAAAAGGAAAGGATGGATGAATCATCTTTCACATTAAAAAAATCAAAAAGCAGAGTCTGTATGTAGCCAAATCTTAATTAATTTACCCTCCCTCTTCCAAGAAAGGATCAGAAATAAAACAAAGTTCTTTCTACACCTACAAAGTGGATTTACTTAGGTAAATTAAAGGGTGAATATGCAACTCCTACATGCACACCAATCTGGGAGATATAAATAGCCTTCTCTGTAAATATGACTTTAAAATATCTTGTTGAGGCTTGGGTGTTTTCTTGTTTTAAACATATTTGAAAATTATCATGATTTTAGTGTATTTTGATTGTTCATCAATCTCCTAAATCTTTTGTTTGGAATGTCTAATTATAGAAAAATAATTAGGAACAAACTTGGAGGCTTCAATTATATATTTACTATATATATATATCCATTATGTATACATATACATAATTTTTCTTTTTGTCTTGTTTTGTTTTGGTAAAAATTGGCAGTCTAATCCATGAAACAATGTCAGGCAGACACTATCACTGCCAGTAGGCTCCAGCATGTGGAATTTTTCCTGGCAGACACTAAGACGTGGAGCTTTACCTGGAGATCATTTCAGAGATGTTAAGATGTTAAGTTCTAGGGAACTTCTCAGAGTTCATATCTCAAACCATCAAAAGCCATCCTGCTTGTGGATAACTTAACACACACCCCCACACACACATACACACACACATACATGCAATGGCCCTTGCAGGAAATGCCAGGGCCATCGACTAGAAGAGAAAACGATGGGATAGGATTCTTAACCCAGTTAAAAAAAAATCAATACCTCCCATAGGCCATTTTGCTTGAGCAGATAAGCCAGCTAAATAATCTGACAGATACAAAATATTGAAAAGTAAATTCATGCAATAGCTAGTACATAGAGGGATTTCCAGGGGGAAGAGAGGTAACAATAAAACAAAAACAAAACAAAAATGTGGAGAATTTCAAAACACAAGCTTACCAACACACACAATGCATTCTATAGCCCGCTATATTTGAGGTGCTTCTACTACTAAAGTGTAAATGCATTGTTTCATCCATCTAAGAAGGTCAAAGTTGGGCTTGATGACTTTAAAATGACAGTATATACTTCTATAGAACATACACTGAGGTGCTATCATTCTCTCATTTATTGAGGGACAGAAGAGCACTGAAAATCGTTATAATTAGCAACATCAGGCAAATGCTTTGGCATTAGCACTAAATATACTGTCCTTTTAACCATAGGAAAATTGATACTGAGCATGTGCAATGGAAAGAAAGCTGGCAAATGTCAGTGTGAATAATGGGTGAAAAAAAGGAATGAGGGGGTGTGGCATCTCAATCAAGATTAAAATGAAACTGATAAAGCAGCATATGGACTGGATAACAAATCAAAAGCATGTTTATCCACTGAAGGAACTGGTTAATGGAGACTGCCAGCACGTTGCCATGGAAACACTGACTGTTGAGCTGCACCATCTCATACCTTATCCAATACATTCCTGGTTGTTGGTAGTAGTCCAAAGACCCTGATCTCTTGATGGTAAACCCGTGGTCCAGCTGAGCAGAGAGAAATGGGGCAACTCAGTGGATCAACATTGTGCTAAAGAATTAAGACTCCAGACCAAGCTGTTCTCCATTAACTACATAGGTATATATAGTGACGATGTCTCTTCTGCAGGGGAACTAGCTAATATTGTAAATCTGCACATTGGAAATAGAAAGGCAAGAAAAGACACCAAACCCTCATGAAAATCTTGGAGGCCAATTTGTTAGCATAGCTCTAGTTTGTCAAACAGGCTTTTGAATGCACATTTAATAATGTCCTCTCAATTTCAAAAGGCATAAACACTTTTTCATACGCTATAGAATGAAAAATGCTTTGTAATTAAATAAAGTTTTGAAATAAGTTTTAGCCACCTAAGAGAAAGCAGATTGGACTACCTCCCCCAAATATTACCCCATTAGTACCCCATTTAAATTTGAGGGTTTTATAAATGTAAAAGAAAAAGAATCAGGTTTAAAAACTCCCATGAATCACAGTCATTTGGATTTTTCTTTAAGAGTTGATTTTTCAGGCCAGGGATTTAGCTCAGTGGTTTCACTGCCTGCCTCGCAAGTGCAAGGACCAGAGTTCGATCCCCGGTACCAAAAAAAAAAGAGTTGATTTTTGAAAGCAGAGCTATCCTTATAGGTGAATCCTAATTACATTTCTGAACTAAAGAGATATAATATAAAACAGTCAGTAAAATTTCTCTAGCAGAATAAAATTAAATGAAATAATTTTCACTGTACATAAAAAATGCATATACAAGGTGCTTGTAATTAATAAAAGGCACAATATATAGAAGACAGGATAAGTTTTCAAAGTTGTTCATCCTGGAATAAGTTGTTAGCTTTTGACTAGCTGGGAATAAAAGATTTAATCTCAAAACTGGAAGAAACAATAATCATGTTGTATGTCTACTTCCCCATTCTACTGGTGGTAGGATGCAACCTGAACACTTTTCTTTAGAGAGGGGCTCATGAGCTCTTTCAAGTGTTCTGCTGGTGTGATGCTGTTGACAGTTTCTACTTCTAAATTCACAAAGGGATTTCAAAAACAAGCCCCGGCACCAAGCATTAAACTAAAAACTGCTTGGACGATTTGGTGTTCGGATTCAAAACCAGGCTATCCCATTGTTCATGGAAAGCAACCTGAGGTTTTAATCTTTTTAAAAATGTTTATTTCGTTTTATTAAAAAAAATTTAAATACACTTTTTCTTAGGAAGATGGCGTGTAATACAGGTTTAGTCCACAAAGATGTCTACATAGTAACTAGTTCTTTACTGCCATCTACAGGCCAAGTCTCATACGACAGGCCATAAGGTCTTTTCAGAAATAAGCTTCCCAGTATCACAATTATATGCACACTGATTAGTATGGATTTGTTCAATTAGACTGAAATGCTCTATTTGCATGAGCAAAATGCAAAAGAAGAGCTTTAAAGCATTAGGAAAATTATCAGTTAAAATAATCAACAGCATTAAATGAAGAAAAATAAATTGGAACTGACATCTTAGTCATCGGTTCTTCATCAACCTGAGCAAATCTAATAAAGCCTCCCTCTCCTCCCTCAGCTCTCAAAAAGTACACCGTTAAAATGTCATCTCTAATTCCATTTTATGTCTATAAATTGCATTTTAATAACCTTTTGTTTCCTTTTCTCCTCTCCCTCTGCATGTGTGTGTGTGTGTGTGTGTGTGTGTGTGTGTGTGTGTGTATGTGTTTAACTCTCCCAACTATATATGGAGAAAGGTAACAGAGGGACAATGGCGTCTTTCTAAGAGAGATAGAATGTTGCAATTCTGCTAAGAACAATGAGTCTCCATCTAATCCCATTGCTTGACCCAATGTCAGAACACCTTTTCTCCTTTCGGAAGGGCTGGGTGATGCTCAGGAACCTTCAGCTAGTAATTTCTTTCCTAGCCAGTTCAAGGCCTTCATGCAACCTTCCTATAAAGTTATCAAATGTCCCTTTTTGGGTCTTAATAATGTAGGGAGTGGGGAACAGAGAAGAGAAAAATGACAACATGAACAAAAACACTATGGTTCAGACTACCAGTACATGTTAAACTACACACAGGTCACAATTACACCATAAATAGAGTCTGCTTGTTTTGACAGTGTGCTCTTCTCCCTTTTGTCATTGTAAGAAAGAAAAAGTGTCATAAATTCCTTTATAAGCATGAATGACTTCTAGCAGGTAGTTAGGGTACTAACTAAGGAAAGAGAAGTGCCTGGTAAAGACTAATGATTTATTTGTTGATTTCCTATAAAAATAAAAATGAACTGGCACTACAATCTAAATTGTTTAAAAAATTTTAAGATGTATATGATTTCCAAACAGTCAGTCTTGGGATAGAGGCAGTTTAAAATAAAATAAATTATTTTATTTTATTCCAGTGAGAGAATAATTGCCTAGGAAAAATCGCGTGAATAAAATTTATGCTGAAATCAATCTTTGTTCATCTATGATGTGGTAAATCAACAATTATACCAAGTTATTAAATTGTCAAATGGTCTTTATAGAATATACTTTTTACAAATGATATTTTTTCTACCTTCCATTTATATTCTGCCTCATAATAAAATATTGTTTTTTTGCCAGTCATACTTGAGTTTGAAGTGGAATATTATTTAATGCCAGGACTCCTTTTTCTTCAGATAGACACCTAACACTTGGTCTCTGCACTTCAAAAATGGAAAAAAATATGGATTTATACACAGCTATTCCAATTTCTAATTTGCAGCCCACCCTGGGACTCATGACCTCCTCAGGATTCTTGTGGAGAGGGGGGGACGTTTTTGAGGGAAAGTATCCTGGAAAAGGTGCCTAAATTGCACATAATATGGCAGATAATTTTCTCTTGAAACAACCTCTAAAATTTATATTCATATTCTCTTTCATACTAGAAATATTAATGACAGTAATTAACATGTGGATTGTGCTCAAGAGGTGACAAGACACGTTTTCAGATGCTTTTCCAAAAACAGCCAATTAATTTGAGTATGAGTTAATAATAATAAAAAAAAGCTTTGTAGGGTGAAAAAACATTAAACAAGCATGCAGTGAATGTGTAACTCATAATTACACAGGCCACTTCACAATTGATATAAAACCAGTTTGTGCAGCTTTCAAGGAAAACATGATGGAGATGAACTGAGAAATCTGCATTAAAAATTGCCTTCAAAATGGTCCAATTACAATATTTAGAAAAAAAAATCAGTGGGCATCTGAACTTCGAACACTAACTGGAGTTTTTTAAGATACATTTAGATGAAGGTTTAATAAATGCATAAGAATTAGGTTACAGAATTTATTCACATTTGATTAAAATAGGACTTCCCCTTAAAGATGTGTTATCTGTAAATTGGAAAACTGCCCTGAAGTTTTGACCCTTAGTCATTGTAGGCCTCCCAGAATACTGTGAACAAATTAGTACTGAACAGCCAAGGCAAACTTAACCAAAAATTAATTAAAATAAAAGACCAGGTAAAAGGAAAGCAAAAAGAAAATGACAAAAGTGGAAAAGGCACTCTCCCTAGCAGTGGTAGGCCCTGAGCAGGAGCAGAAAAGCAGTCCTTTTCATGGACAAGCGTGCTGGCAGCCTGTTCCAAAAGAAAACTATGCACAATTGGAATCAAGCATTGGAATATTTGCATCTTGGATGAACAATGAAAACGGAGCATAGAAGATTTGATTTAGTTGAGCATCATGGTGAGATTGTTACTTGCAAAAATTACTGACTGAATATCAGCTGATAAAGAGCACTGGCCATCTACAGAGAACTAGAGAGGACAAGAAGAACAACTTGAAATTTTAAAACTTCAGCACCTCTGAGTAGTATGCAAGAGTATGCATTCTAGTTAGCACCGTCTGTCTATTCATGTGCCAGTTACCCATACACATGGAATTCACTATTGAAAAGGTTCAATTGAGAAACAGAAAATGCAAACAGTACACAGTGTGTATGAATGCATTTGTACCATTCTCAAATTCTGGAAGCCCATATCAGATATTTAGTAACCCAGATCTGGGAGTGGTTGTGTCCAGTAGGTCAATTATTTCTCTTTAGTTTTATTTGGAGCTTAGCAAAGCCAAAAAGAAAAAGAAGTAAATAAAATAGAACTACCCATAGAAGGAGTTAAATATTCAGCACTGCCCAGGAGTATGAGGGAATGTTAAATAACATAAATAATTTCTAAAAATTTGACATCATAATGTATTAAATTCATCATTCAGAAAAAAAAACAGCTCAAGTGATTTTCACATTGAATGTGCTTTTGGCATTTACATACTCTGGAAAAAGAGGAAATTATTAAAAACTCAAGTAATCTGGGACTTAAATATATTTACCCTAGAATATAATACCAGGAAGTATGAGGTTTCATTATTTCTTGGTCCAATTTAATCTTTGCCTAGAGCAGCTATCAAATTGCATGTAATGTATGTCTGCACACATAGAACAGAACAACAAAAAAAATCTTGCGCAGCCATATTAATAAAATGGTAAATGTTAAAGGACTTTCAACTTTAAGAACAGAAATGTATAAGGAGCAAAACATTGTAACTTCATCGGGTGTTCACAGAAATTCAGTCTCACTGAAAATCTTATGGCCTGAGCTTTCTGTGGTGTTTTGGCTTTAGGCTAGGTGTAGTATAACGATAAGTAGTGTTCCAATGTCTCTCTGCTATATTGTCTCTCTCAGCTTCCCTTTCCTTCTAGGTTTTGGCAAAAAGGACACTGTGAACTCTTTTCTCAAGAGCCAAAAAGTTTGTATTGGCACAGAGTCCAGTGAGGGGAGGTTTTACTTAAAAAAAAAATAATGAAACTAATATATACTGCAAGATACCCTGGAGGTGTTGGATAATGATTTGACACCCAGGGAAATGATCTGTAAAAACACACTCACATATATAAGTCCCACACCGGCTCTTGTGCATTAAGTGGTAGAGCTGTCTAAAGAAATGACCCATTCTGCTGTCTCTGGGTGGAATCCCCTAAGTACTGCTTGTCTCTTAGGCAGGTTGCTTTTAAAAAGTTAGAGGTGGTTATTTCAGATGCTTACTGCTATGACAGAAACTCCGGCTGCAGTGCTGTTCGGCTTGGGGCCTGTGTTGAAATGCTTCTTTATCTTTCCAGCTACTGACAGCTGATGTTCATTTTCTGGGAGGCCATCATCCTGCAGAGAAGACAGAAAATGAAAGAAAGAAGGGAAGAAAGAAAGAATGAAAGAAAGAAAGAAGGAAGGAAGGAAAGAAAAGAAAAGAAAAGAAAAGAAATGAGATTCATGGGAAATGAAGCCAGATTCTCCTAGTCCCAGGCTGCAATCTTAGAATTCAGAAGATGTCACATACAAGCCAGTCGAGGTTTCCTCATGAAACCCTGCGGTTGGACGTACTTTTCAAGGTCTTATTCATGCCCCTATCTGTTCTACAATTAATTTTCTTGGTGTTACTTGAACCTCAGAGATTTGTTTCTAAATTAAACTCTTTAACACACACATACACACACATACACACACACACATACACACGAAACTTAATATAGACAACTCCCCCTAAAATCAGCATGCACACATTTCCCCCCTTCTAGCCCATCATGTAGACTCAAAGCCAAGGACACTGGCAGAACTGGGCTCATGCAGGCTGTAAATAAACTCAGGTTTGTTCTACCTCTACTCAACTGGCCATTCTAAAATCCCAGACAGCCTTTCAGGCAGAGTTTTTCCTCAAGTTTAAAATGCTCCTTGTGACCTTCAAATCATGTTACTATGACATATTCCACATCAGAGCTCATTTTAATGATGGCTTCTGCTCTCTATTGTAGCCATCTATGACTGAGGCTGGACAAATTGCTCTCATGTACTAAATACTGTTAGAATAACCAGAAGCAGGAGCATAAATATGTGGTGCCACTTGCTAGCTCACTGTGAAAAGGCTACATAATTATTATGTATTGAAAACATGTACTAATAAAAATTTTTTCCATTAACTTTATTGGTACATTTTAGGTATACAATACAGTTACATTCATCATTGGGATCTTGTACCCTTACATGATGTATCTTGGTTCTTATTTTTTCCCTATTCCCCTGCCCTCCCTTCACCCCCTCCACCCCTCCCTATTTCCAAAGACTTCGTTTCCATTTTATTCCTTTTCTCGTATTTTAATGGCTGCATGGTTTTCAAAGGCAGAGACTATATTTTGTGATAGTAGATGCTTAATAAATATAAATGGATGAATAAAGTATTTGTTGCTACCTGTTAAACCCAAAATTCTGGCAAGACTTCCAAAGCCATTCCTCATTTTTCCTTTCTCCTTCCTCTCTATCATTGTGGACATCATTTCTATCCAAGAAAATAAATCTGCAGCTCCCCAGCATGCCTGCTTGCTCTTTTTGCCTGACTGTTTTCTCCACATGGAGTTTACTCCTTCTTTTCAGCATTTTGCCATTCATTTATTTAAGGACATTACTGCATATTTATAGGGGACCAAGCATTGTGGTAGGTAGTGGGGAAATGACAGAAAAATAAGAATGGGTCCTGTGCTTTGGGATCTTGTGGTCCCTTTTTCCTTAAAAACTTGATTTTGAATGACCTGTTTCAAGACATTTTTCCTCAAGTAAGTGCAATCCAGTCTAATGGTGCTTCTATAAATCCCTAAAACGTTTTCATTATATGAATTTGCATTACTTATATTTTTCAGTATTAAGAGATTCTATTATCTATCTATCTATCCTTGACCTTGCCCTTTTGTGTCATGTCTTACAAATTTTATTTTCTCTCTCTATGTCTGTCTGTCTCTGTCACTGTGTCTGTGTGTGTGTGCACGTGTGTGCACGTGTGTGTGTGTTTGGTATGGAACCCAGAGTCTTCCCACTGAGCTACATCCCTAGTTCTTTTCTTAATTTTTAAATTTTGAGACAGGATCTTGCTAAGTTGCTAAGTTGTCTAGGCTGGACTTAAACTTGTGATCCTCCTGCCTCAGCCTTCCAGAATGCTGGGATTACAGGTATATGCCACTACATCTGGCAAGTTTTTCATAATTTTTAATACAAGCACTTGGTGTAGTATCCTGCACATAGTGGGTATTCTCACTTTACAATATTCTTGTACTTATGGATTAATGGCCAGAAAAAGGGATAACTAATGTTCATTAAGACACATTTGAAACCAAATGTGGAGGAAGAAAACAATACAGAATGTATTTTTAAAAATTCTTTGTTGTGGAAAAAGTCAGAAATAAAGTGAACATCACTTAGAGTGAGATGATACTGGGGAGATATTGGAAACAGCGACATATCACATTCTCACTATGTAGAGGGTGTGTTAGGGATAGAGGGCTGTGGAAGGAAGAAAGGATCTCTGCCTGCTAGGACCCTGCAGGCTAACTAGGAGAGAGAGTACACCCAGACCATGCTGAATAATGAAACAGATGAGGAGCATAAGAAAGAATTGTCACAGGTGGCTTCGCAGCCTCATGGCTCGACTAGCAACCCCAAGGGAATCCTGGGGAGAGAGGACCTGTCTCCCATTGTGAGCAATCAAAACAGGCTTTGATGAGGGAAGTGGGATCTAACTTCGTCCTTCGTGATGGGGAGAATGTGACAGGCAAAGAGGAGGGAAAGTGGTCTTTTGCTGTATAAGATACATGAATAGGAAGCCACAGGCATGTTTGCCAAACAATGGCTCAACCAGATCATGTCTAGGAAAGGGATCCCATGGAAGAGTAGAGGGGGAGAGAGTCAAAGAGCAGGAAAAGACTGACCATGAATAAGTACTAAAAAGATACCAGGCATGAAGTCTTAGTCTCAGTTAGGAATAAAGAAATGCTTCCTAATGTCAGTGCATGACCTGTGAAGTACTTCTCTACCCAGACATTCATACAGTGTATATCCGGTTCTGACTGCACAAGTGAAAGAGAAGTTGGATGATAATCACAAAGAATTAGAACTACACAGTTCAGAGTTTTAAACATAAAGGTGAATTCAATGCTGTATATAAATACTTTTTTTTTTAAATGGTGGATCAAAAACAGACCCCTGGAACTTAAGCCAGACAAACACCCTTGGAGTCTATGTTAGAATTTTTGAGGGTATTTAAACATTTGACAAGGCATGAAATGATGCTGAAGGTCTTACAAACATTGGCATCGTGCTCCTGGCATAGTTTGGGCTCTGCCTGAATGAAAGGGGCCACCCTGAGACAGTGGTGCCCCATCAGGGCTCACCTCCAACATCATGCATGAGCTTCTAACCAACTCTCAGTAGAGTTTCAGGTCACCTTGGGCAAAATGATTTCTATGAACTTCAATTGTAAAACACTATAAAAAGTGAGACCAGGAAGCAGATCGAGAGAAGGTATTTTTGTTTTTTTTTTTTTTTTTAGGACAAAAGAAACTTGTGCATACTTGTGTCTCAGGATAAGAAACTAGTAGAAAATGAGAGTGAGAAGACAGGAGAAAGGGATCGAAACAGGGAGGGAGGGTGGCAGGGGAGCCCTCTGCCCTGGGGAGATGGGAGGTTTACATGGCTCTGTGAGGCAACAGGAAGCAAGTACAGAATGGACAGGACCTGTTTGGAGGTATAGGGAGGCAATTTATAAGAGGAAGACAGGCAGAGGAAGGTGAGGTAAGGCTTACCTGTCAGGGGTCCTGTGCCACTGATGTACACATATGATTTCTGTCATCCTCACAGTAGTGTCTACCACATGCATTAGTCCCATTGTGAAGATAAGCAAAACTGAGGCTTACGAAGGTGAAATCATTTGCTCAAGGTCACACAGCTACAAAGTATCTAGCCAGGACTCAACCAGATCTGAAACTATGTTCTTTCTACCACGCCACATTGGATTCCCTAGCATGGTGTCCAGCTATCAAAGACCTGCAGAAGTGTTAAGTGAAAATACTTACTGAATCATTTTTTTCCATGATGAAAATCATCCAATAGAGAGGGAGAATGAGAATGGAATTAGAGGCTGGAAAAAAATATAGTATTTGGATAGGACTTAATGGAGCCTGGGAAGCATTTGGAGGTCAATAAAAGGGATGCTGAGCATGTCAGAGGAATGCTCCTGTGGGATGCAGTTAGAAACTTCTATGTCAAATGAAGACAGAGCATCCACTTATCTGGCATGTGTTGACTTGGCCTAATGGGGTTGGGACTCCAGAGCCTGCATAGGGAGGCAGTGCTGGAGGCCTGGCAGACACTGGATGGAAGTAAGTTGCACTTTGTCAGTGGTGCGGTGCTATGATTGGCACAGGCTGTGTTAGCAGCTTGGGTGCAAATAAGGAGAAAGAAAGATAGCTGAGTTTCCAGAGAAGTAGCCCCTGTTTGACTTCTGAGGAAGATTCATCTCTTGTTGAACAATCTCACCTCCTCCTCCTCGCTCCCTCCATTAGCATCTTTGGCAGAAATACTTTTACCTGGCTTTTGCCCCCTGATGTCCTCGAGCTAAGAGTTTGCTTTCTTATCACCTCACAATGGACTTCATTATCATTTCCCAGTTGTATTCTGGTCCTAATCTCCCTTCAAACTCCTAGCACCTCTTTCAGATGATGGGGCCTGGATGTTCAGGTGAAGCTTTGTGCTTTCCTGGGGTTATTGGTTCACGTCAAGGCAATGAAAGTAATGAAAGAACTCTGATGAGTTGCCAGAGTTGCTTTTGACTTCATAACTTAAAACATTTCAGGATTTTTTTTTCCTCCAATGAAATATGGCATCTCAGCTAGAGGATGTAAACTCACACATACATATACACGCACCATGGCAACAAAAAGGTCTGCAGCATTTTTTGATAAAAATTCAAGTGCTTTCAGCATAATTGGATTAAAAGACATAAACAACTGGCTTTGCAGGTTCTAATCCATACCTGAGCCATGCAGATTGATAGGGGAGATTTAGCTAACTTACTGTCTTGCATTAATAAAATAAATAGGGCCATTAAACATACATTTTTATATATACATCTTTATCACCATTATTCTGAATGGATTGTGTGCCAAAAACATGCTATGAATTTTCTAAACGTGACAAACCTGGCAGTATTTTACAAATAGTTATAGTATTATTACCATACGTTCTGGTTTGGGAGTAGTTTCTGAAGTTTGACACAGGCTGGTTGTGGTTTGAGGTTAGTGGTTTTTGATTTAGAAATTCCCATCCACCACTTGGCAGAGCAT